AAAAAAAAAAAAAGAAACACACATAAAAGAATGTACTCCACTACCTGCCCCCATAGTTTGAAACTATAGTATTAGAAATAAGGTCAAATTTTAACAATTTGGTTCCATTACCTTTAATATACTTGTGAACAAATACTGGGTGAGAATACATTTTAAATACATCAAAATTTTAAAAAGTTTATCACCTTCTTTTCAGTGCTCTATTAACCTAATTGGTCAAAAGTGCCTCATTTTCCAAGAAAGGTAAGGGTGWGTGGGGAAAGGGAAGGGAACCAGAGCTCTGGATTCTTCACAAGTGCATCATCATCCACAATGGGTTTGGAGGATGAGAGATTAGGGAAAATCAGGTTTCAGCAACCTCAGTGGAACCTAGTTCTCAAAGACACCAGAGGTATCCAGTGGATGATACCTAAGCTGGAAATCCAGAAGTTGCCAGAGTCCAAGGTCAGTGAGGAAGAACAAAGTATGCCAAATTTTATAACTATCAGGGACTCAGCAGTGCAGGAGGGGCATTGCAGGAGGGGCTCCCTCACGTCATGACCAGTGTTCCCCAAACTCATTCAAAGTTCTAAGATGTAAATTTGACCTGTCTCAGCAAACTTCCATGCAGCAAGCAGAGCACTAGGCTATAAAGGCAGTCTCAGGGCTTGGGGGTCATAGCAGGGTGCTGCAGCCTAGGGCTTAGAGGTTCAGGGTTGATCACTAAATCTCCATGAGCAGTTTTGAGCCGAAGCTTTGGGTCCAGAGCTATGCTGGCTGTGCCAGCAGACAGGCGTCTCTTGGCTGGAACCTGGGAAGTCTGTTCCTGAACCCTTAGTTCCCTAGGACGACGACCACGACCACGTCTGCCAGTCAGAACTGACGGATGCAGGGTCAGTGGCGGAACTGTTTCAGGCCCCTGGGAGCTGTGGGCTGTGGCCCTAGGCTGAACTGCAGCACTTCTGGCTGCCGAAGGTAGGTTGGGCATCGGGCACACCTGAGCACTGCAGTGGGTCTCACCAGTGGCGGACTCGGGCAGAGCAGATTGTGAGGCCTGGCGGAGTGGGAGATGTTTCAGGCTGGGGGAAGCTTTCCTAYGTGAAAGGACGTCCCTCCAGGTGGTCATCGCCTGTCTACCAGGCGCTGTAGGCTCAGTGTGGTCCACTGCGGCCCTGTCTTGTCCGCATTTCCACAGCTCATAGCGCTCGGGTTGCAGGATACGCACAAAGGCATCCATGGAGAAGCTGACCCTGGCCTCCCCACAGCTGCACTGAGATGCCACTTTGCCATAATCAATCCACCTCGGAGTAGCGAAATTGATGGCCTCCGCACAGTTGAAGCCATGGTTGAAGCCAGCATGGTAGCCATAGGGGAATGTCACCATGAACTCACCAGCCTCCTGAGTCATGCGGTTGAAGGGAATGCCATTCTCATGGAGGACTGT